CTCTCTCTCTCTCTCTCTCTCTCTGTCAAAAATAAATAAACGTTGAAAAATAATAATAAAAGGCAGCAGGTATTGAAGCAGGCTCCTGCATTGATGGAGCAGGAGGACTCTGGGAGTGAAGCTGGGTGGAGGCCCCACATCTGTCCCTCTTGTCATTTGAGAAAATAAGACACCCTCGTCAGCTTCATTGGGACAAAGAAAAAAAATGTAAAATTTTTGTGTTGTGGAGGCTTTTTCATCAGGAGCTATATCCCTGACCTCTCATAACAACACTTTGAAGCATGAGGATTTGTGTCATTAAAAGTGGTTCTTTTTCTTTTCAGGCATCATGGACAAATCTAAAGAAAACTGCGTCGCAGGGCCTGTTAAGGTAAATCGAATAATCGTAATCTCTGTCACATTTAGAAAACCCAAATGGAGGTTGGTGTTAGATCTGGAGTTCTTTTCACCGTCACTTTGGATTGTAACTTTAGAGGTGTCTGCTACATTCCTGGAGGAGTTAGTCCCCTTTCTCAGCATTTCATACCATGTCATTGATGGGCACCTGTTATTTTGTTCTGCTTTGTCTTCTAGCTAGCTCTTTAAGTATCTGTTCCTCCATTGTGTGCAGGACAATAATGTATACAATAGGTGCCCGATACTTGCCTGTATTTGCTTGCTTGCCAGAAATTAAATTGCTTTGCCACAGCTTGTTCTGGTCACGCTGCAGGACATGGTAAGCTCCTAGGAATGTCGGGCTGTGTTTTAGTGAATATTTGCTGGGAATCCACTTTGAGCCAGGTTCTGTGTCAGATGCAGGGATTACAATGATGCAAAGCGCATGGTCTTTGACTAAAGAACTTAGCCCTTTTGGGGAGTTATGGGAGCCAGTACTGCGCCTTCACAAAATATGGATGCGTAAGATGACCCGAGTAATTCCGTGGAGGGTGGGTGCTCCATTCAGGTTGGGATGGGCTGGAATCCAGGAAGGGCTTCCCCAGGGAGGACCCTCTGCCTATAGTATTTGTGGAGCGGCTGGGTGAACGAATTTTTATGCAAAGATCTTTTAATATAAGCAAGCCCCAGAGTTTTTTGCTTCTAGGAAATCAGCGTAAAAATACACACACACACATCAAGCAAGATTTGTGTGTGGGGGGGGCGGGGTGGGGTGGGGTGTCTTATTTTTAGAAATTTTAATTTTCTTTTTTTACTAAGTTTTAAATTTAATGTTTTAAAAAATGTATTATAGAGAGAGTACCAGTGAGGGGGAGAGAGAATCCTAAGCAGGCTCCACGCTCAGCACAGAGTCCAACTCGGGGCTCAATCCCATGACCCTGAGGTCATGACCTGAGCTAAAGCCAAGAGTCGGATGCTCAACCAACTGAGCCACCCGGGCGCCCCAAGTCTTTTATTTTAATACCAGTGTAATTAACACACCATGGTTTATTAGTTTGAGGGGTACGTTACAGGGATTCAGCTCTTCTGTACATTACCCCGTGCTCGTAAGGATAAGGGTCCCCTTTGTCCCCATCCTGTTTCACCACCCCCCCCCCCAACCCCACCTCACCTCTGGTAACCACCAGTTTGTTTTCTGTAGTTAAGAGTTTGTCTCTTTTCTTTCTTTTCTTTTTTCTTCTCTTTTCTTTTTTCTTTTCCCCTTTGCTGGTTTGTTTCTTAAATTCCACATATGAGTGAAATCATATGGTATTTTGTCTTTCTCTTACTAATTTTGCTTAGCATTGTACTCTCTAGCTCCATCCATGTCATTGCAGATGGCAAGATTTCATTTTTTATGGCTGAGTAATGATCCCTTATATATCTATACCGCATCTTCTTTACCCATTCCCCTATCAGTGGACACTTAGGCTGCTTCCGTAATTTGGCTCTTGGTTTGTTTTTGTTTTTAGTTTTTTAATATTTATTTTTGAGAGAGAGGGAGAGAGAGTGTGAGCAGGCAAGGGGAAGAGAGAGAGAGAGAGAGAGAGAGAGAATGAATGAATTTGAAATAGACTCCAGGCTCTGAGCTGTCAGCACAGAGCCCAATGCAGGACTTGAACTTGGGAACAGCGAGATCATGACTGAAGTCGGATGCTTAACCAACTGAGCCACCCAGGCGCCCCTTTAATTTGGCTCTTGTAAATAATGCTGCTATAAATATAGGGGTGCATATATCCGTTTGAATTAGTGTTTTTGTATTTTTTGGGTAAATACCCAGTAGTGTGATTACTGGGTCGGAGGGTGGTTCTATTTTTAACATTTTGAGGAACTCCCATCCTGTTTTCCACAGTGTCTGTACCTGTTTGCATTCCCACCAGCATCGCACAGGGGGTTCTTTTTCTCTACATGCTCACTAACACTTGCTGTGGTCTTTTTGATTTTAGCCATTCTGACAGATTTGAGAAGTTTTCATTTTCAAATAAATGGATACTTCTCCTTTATTTACTGACTGGAAGTCTAAAATGATCAATTAGAAAAAGGCTAACTTGAGTCATTGTATTTGATTCTCAAGTCCTACGATAAAGATCATTTTAGGAAACTGCTGTTTAACATGTCACTGCCTGAATGCCTACTGTGTTGTGGGCGTTGCTAAGCTAGACGTTGTGACCTGAGCTGAAACCAGGAGTTGAACACTTAACTGACTGAGTCACCCGGGCACCCCCAGATGATCTTCTAAAACATCTTCACTGAGGGGCGCCTGGGTGGCTCAGTTGATTAAGTGTCCAACGTCGGCTCGGATCATCATCTCGCAATTTGATTTCTAGTCCCACATTGGGCTCTCTGCTGTCCCCGTGGAGCCTACTTCAGTTATTTAGATACTCTGTCCCCCTTCTCTGTCTCTGCCCCTCCCCCACTTGCTCTCTATTTCTCTTTCTCTCTCTTTCTTTTCTTTTTTTTTTTTTTTTTTTTTTTTTTTTTTTTTTTATTAAAATTTTTTTTTTTTCAACGTTTATTTATTTTTGGGACAGAGAGAGACAGAGCATGAACGGGGGAGGGGCAGAGAGAGAGGGAGACACAGAATCGGAAACAGGCTCCAGGCTCTGAGCCATCAGCCCAGAGCCTGACGCGGGGCTCGAACTCCCGGACCGCGAGATCGTGACCTGGCTGAAGTCGGACGCCCAACCGACTGCGCCACCCAGGCGCCCCTCTTTCTCTCTCTTTCTTAAAAAAAAAAAAAAAATCTTTACCAGAAGATAACCACTGTTGAATATTTTGACATATTTCTTTGTCTTTTTTCCTAAATATATGTATGATACTACCAAAGAAATTTCAATGGAATTGGGATTTTGGTATAAAGTTTCTGCATTGTAGCTTTTTGCTGGGTAATAATTCTCAAGCCATTGAGAATTCTTAGGAAGTGTTTAATGTCTCCCTCTTTAGATGGAAATTTAGTTAATGAACATTTGTTTATGGGAGCATGATTTTTGGGAGTGGGGTGTTGGGTGGGTAGGAGGATCATTCTGGTATTCCTTTCAGCCATCTACTAACCACATCCTTTGGAAGCACTGATGAACATTGCTTTCCCCTTCCATGTACTATCAGTGACCTTTGTTATTTTGTTATACTAGAAAAGAGACTTTGTGGAATTCTCAAAATACCCCGCTTTTGTTCATGAAGACCATGACGTTTATTTTTTCCCTCTCAATCTAGACCACAATTCCCCTTGGCGATGGTCCAAAACGTGTTCCAGTGACTCAGCAATTTCCTTCTCAGAATCTGTTATCTGCAAATAGTGGCCAGGCTCAGCGGGTCTTGTGTCCTTCAAATTCCTCCCAGCGAATTCCTTCACAAACACAAAAGCTCGTCTCCAGCCATAAACCGGTCCAGAATCTGAAGCAAAAGCAACTACAGGCAACCAGTGTCCCTCGTTCTGTCTCTAGGCCGCTGAATAATACCCAAAAGAGTGAGCAGCCCTTGCCATCGGCCACTGGTAAGTCAACTTTTTGAGACTATTAGATTGTTATTCCTTCCAGTTGCTTAAAAAAAGGGGGGGGGGGTGGATGGAGGATAGACTTGGCGTTTATAGTTTGGAGCCCTAGCTTTGATGTCATTTTTATTGAGGATATGGAGAAAAATCTGATGTCAGGTTGAGGTAGTAGGGTCTCCTGTGGGCCAGCCCTGTGCTCAGGATGGAGAACCTGATTCCCACCCTCGTGGTATGATTGAGGAACTGAAAACTTCCAAAGTCTGGAGTGTGGAGGGCAGTTGGGGAAGTAGATGTCCGAACTTGGATGGACTGAGGCCAGTTGGGTAAGGTCACGGTGGAAGCTCTTGGCTTGTTGAGGAGTGGGGCTTCATCCCCTGGGCATGGGGAAATTGCTGAAAGGTTTTCCAGTGGAGGAGGGACTGGCCTTCTACAAATCTTACTAGATTGGCCATGTGGAATGAACCGGAGAGAAGCAGAACTGCACTCAGGGGCAGCAGACAGGAGGCAGGCTGCCGGGGGTTAGGTCAGAGATGGCAGGGACCTGAAGTGGGCAGGGGCAGGTGGATGTTAGTAGTCCTTATTTACCAGCCTGGCATGCCCACACTCAGGAGAAGTGCTTCCTTCATCCACGTCGTCTCCTTCAATTCTCACAACCACTCTGTGCGGGTGGTCGGTGACCAACTCTGTTTTACAGACGAGGGAGTGGAGCCTCTGAAGCATAAACTTGCCCACAGACACAGCAGGATGGAGGGGTGCAGGCAGATCCAAGGGCTGACCTTGGATGCAGACTGGGTGGAGCTGGGCAGTAAGCTGGATGTAGGGATGGGGTTCTATTGCCACCATGAACCGAGGTCGTGAAGCGCGAAGGGAGAAAACCGGTCTGGGCTCCCGTCACCTGTCTGAGCAGAGCACACCCTGCTCTTTTGGAGTTTGAAGTGGAAATGTCCAGCCTCTGGCTGATGAAACGATGACTTTAGCACCCTGTTGTGCAATTGGTTTATGGTACATTTTGCTGAATCAGGGGCTTCTATTTTTATATTTCCCCTTGGCAACTAATGAAGGAAGGTGGCTGATTTATGTTTTGTTGCACGCTGTTAATTTGTATGTAGCTGATGGAGAGTCGGCTGGCCCACTGGGGGGGGGGGGCGAAG